ATTTTTTTTTACAAATTTTCAAATTTTGACCCGGCCGGGTTATGAAAACCAATTAATTAAGTTTGCATGGCCTAATGTATAAAACATGGACATAATTTATAAAGCCATATAACAAAATTTAAAGAAAAAGATTAAATTAGGTCATATTTGTGTTAAGATTCGAGTAAAATATGGCTCGTACTGAAATTTGTTTTTGTTAGAATCTCAAAAATGTATAATAAATCAAATGTTTTAAGTGTTTCATATGCTAGTGCACGAATAGAATTGTCCTAATAAAATATAAAAATTACCCGATTAAATACGGGATTCATTTTTGGTTCAACCCGCTGGACAAGCGTTGTTTTATCATCTGAAACGACATGCCAATCTACAATTTGAATGACGTCAAGAAATAACTTTGAGTAAAATGTTCATAACATATTTAGGTCATCTTAAAAGGATACATTCAAATTTTTTTCCTTTTTTTATACTGGCAGTGGCATTTTGCGACATTAACACAAATGTTCCTGAAGTAGGATCAAACACATGCAATTCAACAGGCACTGATATGGCGTTTTCAACTTCAGATGAGGCACCAGGAAAATCAGAAGAAACGGTATGTCGTGTAGGGGTGGATGATGGTGAATTGTCAGACCGAACAGACCTGACAGGTGTCGTACTAGCCGACACTGGTGAGTCATTTAAAGGTGTTGATGTGTGATGTTTCGGGGTAGATGGAGATTGTAAAACTTTTGAATGATCTCTCTCTGCTAGCGGTCTAAGATTTATAATATCATAAACGTCATAATAAAAATCATGCATCATACAGTTTGAGTATAATTATATTATATAAAAACTTACACATAAATGAAATTTTGGAGGTCTTGTTCGGTCGCCTCTTCACGCGATTTTCTGTATTTTCGTTCAAACATGCAACTATACATAGTGTATTCGAAAGCATTGGTCGTATGCGCTGTAGTATTCACGTCGCAAACAAATTCAAATAAATCATCAGGGTCCTATTGCGAAAAAAAGGATGAATCAATTAGATCTCTAAAATACGCGTTCAATATAAACTATTGTAATGTCACCTACACCCATTAAATCCCTCCATGCGAATGTGGTCAATCCCTCGATTTGACCTTTGCGAAATTCAAGAGATTCATCAATAAGGAAAACCTTTTCTTCTTCACCACCTTTACAAGTGATATATTTTAAATTTTAGAATTCTTACTATAACAAAATATGTGACGTAAAATAAAAAATTAGAACACTAACAAACCTTGACTTTCCTCGTCAGATTCATCTTCTGACACTAGTTCTTCTTCACCTTCCTCAAAAACTCTGTCGATAACAAGTTGATACTGCCATTCAGTACCTGTGCGCCTTATAATAGCTTGGGCTTCTCGAAAGCTATAGATAAATCATATATTCACCAGAGATTTATAAATAATTATTTAGAAAACGTGTGTCAATTGAATAAGTAGATATTCTGCTGTGCCCTTTAGAGACGCGTACATAAACATACATGCATTCTCTGTTGCCTTTTGGACTATTTGGCCTAACAAGATAGAGCTCACCTGCACTTATTTGAATAAGTTCAGGATTGTCTGGATCGCCTATAAACCAAAATTTAACGTAAACGTCACTAATAAAGCAATTATTTATAATTTAACACTTTACGGTCACTCACCCCAAATAAGTTTTCCAAGAGACTTTATCATGAACATATTTAGTGCTTATGGTTGAATGTTATAGTGTTTTTTAATTGGAACTAATTCTTTACAAGAAGTTTTTCTTTAAAAATACAATTTGCTGAAGTATTATTACGCCATATGAAACGCAAAGCTAATTTATAGAGCGGCTTTATTTACATCATCAAATTTTGCCTTACACAAGGTCGATACACGTGTACTATCGATCTGCGAATACAAGTACGTACGTACGTACGTATGTATTCTTTTTACAAGCACTTAGGTATCATTATCGTTATTGTTAATTTCCATCATGAATTACATCCAAAAATAAAAAAAAAAAGATCATAACGCATATAATATTTGATTGTAAAAATTCATACATTATGTTAATAAAATACATGTCACTGCGATCTTTGATATAACCACTCCAAACCGTTGTTAGAAAGTTCGAAAAAAAGGGAAAAAAAATCTACATTAGATTTTTTTTTTTTTTAATACGAACTTCTATGAAGTTATGTGTTTCCATTCGCCGGATGTTTTGACTTTTTCTTTTTCTTGATCAATTTAGCGGATGTTGTGCTATCTACATCCATTACACTTTCATCCATGGAATTAGATCGCTTCTTAGAGTTCCGAACCGGATATAAAATTGAAATCGGGTAAACCGGTTGAAAAAGGTTGAAATAATCGTGACGGCGAGAATTATGGATGACTAGTTTTTTTTTAAATTTTCGAGGGTGAAGTTCGATTCGATATTATCGAAAAATAAAAAAAACTGATTCAATTCGAATCTGAGATCCGGACAATAAGCATGAAAAAAATAATACGATAGTACCAATACAAACCTGTAAACAGTGTTGTAACCTGGGAGAAACTTTGACTCGACACCAATTTAGCGCAGGGCCACAGACATAAACTTGGAGACGATGGTGCAGTTAA